AGAATTTTGTGAAGATTGCAATTTAGGTTCATATTTTAGGTAGAACTTATGTACCAGGTAAAGTTCTTACTCCATTCATTACAGAGGTAAGCAATTAATCATTTTATTTAGTGGTAAAAAGTTCACATGAGACTATAATTGACTCTCATGAAGGTAATTTTTCCTTTTGTTTTATCTTACTTTGAGAAGTAATTAGTTGAAAAGAAAAAGAGTACTACACAAAACTGAAAGAAAAGTGCAAAATTAAAATAAAAGACAGTAGTATATTATTTATACAGTTTTTCCTGCAATTTATGAAGAACTATTCTCTGAGATGCTATGTTGATCATTTATAATCTATTAGAGATTATTTTCAGTGATTTCCTTAGGTACTACTTTCTAATTATTTTTCTTATGCCTTCCCTAAGAACTCTTTAAGTCAACAAGTTCAAACTATACATTTTCTTAAGAATTAAAAAATAAATGTATCAATTCTCCATAACTGAAAGTAGAACAAACATATCAATAAATATCTTACTTCTGTGTTTGTCGCCCATATCTGATGGTAGTTTCCAGTAATTGAATATTCAAATACCAGATACATAAAACCTGTGATAGAATTTAAAACAGAGACAGAGGAGACATTCTAGGCATAACCTTTTGGAGTAGCAGATCTTAAGAAAATAGCTCATGTACCATCTGTCACCAACAGACCTAAGCTAATTTGATAATGTGCAGTTCTGTGTTTGTGTAGGTGATAAAAAGTATGTAAGCCAGTGACACATTTGATTCACTCCTTTGCAACATCCTTAAGCATATTATAATGAAGATAAATCACAGTTCAAATTCTGCTACACATATTGACCATTGCAAAAATACACTTTGGTAAAGAGAAATATCTAATTCATAGATCCTCTGTAAGCTCCATGAAAACTCCACTTTTTCTCCTTTTAGGTGTTCCCACATCTATATTGCATGAAAAAAATTTCTTGGAGATACCTGTAATATTATGACAGAGATAGGACTGTTACCTCATGGTGGGTATCAGGGAAGGAGAAATTCTTCTTCTCAGTGGCTGACACACAATACAGCAAGATGATCAGTCCAGCACCAGGACTACAGGATCAAGACTTTGACCTTTATATATATATATATATATATATATATATATATATATATATATACTGTGTGCACAAAGATGGACTATGATATAATCATTTAACTAATCCACATAAATGAATATTATCCATTTAACCAATGAGAGCCGATTACTTAACAACTGTTATGCTGATTAACAAGCCCACTGATGTTTGCCAATGAGAGCCCATTTCTGACATTCATTAACTAACTCTAGTGCTGATGAAAATAAGGATAATGGAAACTCTTGCAGCAGCTACCCTGAAGGCTGGCCTTTCAGAATGAATGCCACTGACCGCCCGTGGGGTGTGCACTTCTAATTAGGGCAAGTGACTGCTTCCCTACAGTGCAGTTTAGACCAGCAAAGATAATTATAACACACTCTGATGAAGTATTTCAAAATACATTGTACCACCATGTTATCATCTTTCCTCAAACCTACAAGACCAACGAACTCTCCAAATATTAATTTACCTAATTTTGTCTTAAAGGCTTTTAAAGTTGCAAAACTCCGTCAGTTTCAATAGTCATTAGTTTAATATTTTGTTTCACTTTTCAGTCAAGATGCTATGTGTGCAATCAATTTGACTAACTCACTCTGAAGATGCTTCATATATATTTTACTGAAAAAAATAAATCTATCAGACTGGAATTCTCTCTACCCACCATTGTAGTTTTCAACTTACCTCCATCCATCCGGGTTGCTGTTTATAGTGAACTGATCTCCCCTCTTGGGCTCTGAATCCCATCTTCTCTTGTCTTCTCAAGTTCATCACTTATAATTCTCCCTATGTCTCTGTATCTCTCTCTCTCTCTCTCTCTCTCTCTCTCTCTCTCTCTCTCACACACACACACACACACACACACACACACACACAATTTCCTTTCTACATACACTTTTTTCCCTTTTCTTCTGGCCATCCCATTTCCCATTTCCTTCATCCCTTTAATGGGAATATCTGAAAGTTTGCTTCTTTACTTCATAGCCTCTTAAGAACTTATTCCTAGTGCATGTCACTCTCAGTTACTCTACTGAAATTTCTCATAGTGAAGTTATTGACAAATTACATATAATTTAATAGTTTCACCATGAGAAGTTTTGAGGAGAAGACTGTTTCTTGTTCTTGATGCGTCAACAGTACTGAACAAATATGACCATATTGCTTGTGTGAAATACTTCCTTCTCCTGGTTTCCATGATACCATCTTCTCCTGAATTTGATACTTGTGCACAGTCTACCTTTTACTGGTTTCTTCTTCTGAGTGTCAGCTACAGTGTTTTGAGCTCAGTCCTAGAGAACCTTTTCTTTCCTGTGTTTACTTCCTCCAATAGACACTGACTCAGTCCCAGATTTTAGTATCCATCAAGTTCATGCTCAGTTTTGTCTTACCTTTGTACTTCTAACAACTACTGTCAACTTGACACTTCCATTAAGATATCTAACTTAGATTTAATCCAAGTCTAAAATACCCAGAGTAGAACTCTGGATTTCCTCCCACAAGACTTCATTTGTTTCATTAATAACTTCACGGTCCTTCTATTGCTCAAGCCAACATCCTAATGAACCATCTCAATTCGTCTTTTTCCTCATTCCCCAAGATCAATCCATGAGTGAGTTCCATTTGCTTTTGCTCCAAATTATATTCATCAATTTCTTTTTCTCCTTACTGTTGTCATGGTGACCCTTCATTCTTCTAGGAAACCCCATCCCAGCCAGCACAATGGGAGTAAATAGGGCAAAGATTTAGGGCAGAGATATTTTGGGTAAAACCCTACAGGTCATGGTAAAATTTAACTTTATTCTAAATTTGATGAGAAACAACTTGAGGATTTTAAGCAGGAGGTAACATGATATAAACTTTAAAACATTCTTCTCAGTCTGTGGGGGGAATGAGAAACACACTGGAAAGGAGTATAGCAAAGGATGGAGAGGACTGTGTCTGTATTGAACAGAAGCCTGTGTCAGCAGTTTGACCAAGGTCAGAGGTAGCTGGTTATGGATTTTGTTAGAAAAACCAAATCTCAGTGAGAGGAAAGTGAATGTAGTTTCTCATGGTACTTCTGGCTTGACATTAAGGAAGGATGAACAAGAAATGCTTTGGTTTATACTAGGTTTAGTGCTAATGATGTGGGGCAGACCTCATGGTGGACTTCTCTTGACTTCCACATTATTAGCTAGAGTACAAGTCAGAGAAGGGACAGTCTTCTTCCCTTATGACTTTTGTAATTTTGGTTCCTTTTATCTATACAACCAGTATGCCTAATACTCAAGATTCATGAGGTTATGATTAAAAATCTTCTGGCTTTGGCCCCATTCTCCTTTACAAACAGGGAAGTTCATCCCTTAGATTTACACCTAAACTTGGATTGTTCTAAAATTCTTTATTGCTCTTATGTAGTAAAAACTTCTAGAGTCTCCGTATACATGGTGCCAGTTATTAAAAATATCTAATTTATTGCTACTGTGTAGCAATTAAAATTTTGAACTTGAATGAAAGCTAATTCTTCCCCATAGCCTGAATTTGCTGCATTAAGAAATGTGGTGTCTCTCTCTCCATGATTGTGGACTATCAAACTCGATGGGAAAGGGCCAATAGATGCAAATATTAAAGGCTTAGATTTACTAAGCAGAATATTAAAAGGTAAACTGTAGTATAAGCTAAGCAGGGAGAAGTTGTGAAAAGTTTCCCATGAAACAATTTTTTGAAAAAAAAAATCAAAGGAGCCAGGAGACATAGGCTCAGGATGCTGAGGTGAGAGGATTGGGAGTTCAAAACCAGCCTCAGAAAAATCAAGGCACTGGCCTGGGGTTGTAACTCAGTGGCTGAGCACTTGCTTCGCATGCATGAGGCACTGGGTTCAATCCTCAGCACCACATAAAAATATAAATAAAATAAAGATATTGTGTTCACCTAATACTAAATTTTTAAAATATTTTTTTAAAAAGCAAGGCACTAGTTAACTCTGTGAAATCCTGTCTCTAAAAACAAAACAAAACAAAACAAAAAAACAAAATTGGGGCTAGTGATGTGACTTGTGGCATAGTTCCCTTGGAGAATTTTTGAAGTACATACTTTTCACTATGATGTTATAAATAAGTCAGGGATCATTTATATGGTACATAGATTACATGTTTTTGTTAAAAACAACTGTTTTTTAAAGTTTCTTTTGCTAATTCATCAAATAATATTTTCAAAAATTATTTAACTTGTAACTGGGGTACTAGTTTCACAGCAATTTACTCATAGTTTTCATATTATGATGATTCACCATAGGTCTCTTGAATAGTCGATTCTATAAAACAGTTATCAATTAATTTCAGTTAATATTTAAGAAATATTTGGACTTCGAAGACAAATGGCTACAGTCTTACTGATTTCATGAATTTTTCTCCTGATCCAATCCCAAAGAAGAAAAAAGTAGAATTTATCTTTGTAAGGTAAATTCAATGAATTATTTTTTTGTATTTTGGGCCACACTACTAATTACTTGCTCTAGTCATATATAATTAATTATACTCAATTATGAGACTTGAATAAATTTTAAAATAAGTACTATAAACTGATTCAAATAGTTACACTCAAATATTTATATTGCTTACCTATTTAAACACATTATTTTTGCAGCATAGTTAGTGATTAATTCCTTGTTAATTGAGTTTTCATGCTTTATAAATCCTCTCTGTTGAACATAATATGCAGTTTAAAGATAAACAAGGCCAGAAGAATTTGATTTATCAACCTGGACATGAACAAGATGTGGATCAGATTGGCACTAAATGCTTTCTCATGTTTGAAAAACTAACCACAGTCTTACATTAATTGTAATGCTAATGCACTTTATCCAGATTAGAATTTTAATTTGTTTACATGTTACATTGACAGGTTGCTTCAGAGATGGTCAACATTATGAAGAAGGATCAGTAATTAAGGAAAATTGCAACTCCTGGTAATGAATTTACTCAGAACAGAATTGTACTGTCTATGAATTTTTTTCTTCAAATAAAAGGAAGATTTGTTTTGAAACAAAACAAATAGATAAAATTAAATATGTATACACAAAGTCATATTCCATAAGACATCATATACTTGTAAATTTTTATAGGCCTATTTATTGAATGTTGAAAATATAATCATGCATGTATCTTTTAATACCTGAGCTTGATGTTTTGTTTTTGATAATGAGCCTTGATCATACAACAGTTTTGCATTAGGTATGCATTCTAACAACAAAAATTTTAATATACTTCAGATTTTAATATACTACAGACAAGCTGTGTTTTTTTAGCATGACTACATTAAAAAAAAAAAAAAACATGCTACTTTAAAAGGCTTAGATTACAGAGAAAGTTTCTCCATACAAGGGAATCAAATCTAATTGCCAAATGATCCTGTTTTAAAACTTTAGTAACTATGTTGCCATATCATTTATTATTTGCTGAAGCAGAGGTTAAGAGCCCATTGAGTGGTTGCTAATACCTGTTTTATGATGTATTTCACCAATAATCAAACAACCATATGGTTAACATTAATCATGAAATTATGTTTTATATCTTTACAATATACAACTCTTGATGTTAATTCTGAAATGTACTCTATAAAGGCCAGGCCACATTTGTAATTCTTGTATCTTTATAGCACATGCTCAGGACAGCAGTGGAAATGTTCCCAGCACACGTGCCTTGTTCGTCCAGAGTTAATTGAACATGTCAATCAAGGAGACTATGGGTGAGCTGAATCTTGCATTACCACTTTCTTGGCCCTGCTAATTACTCCTCAGATCTCAAACAATTTTTTTTACTTACTCCTAAAAATGGTCATTATTCAAAAGAAAGAGTGGGGAAATTGGGAATGGAGATAAAAGGTGTGTACACTTAGAATGCACAAGGTGAATAATAAATAATTAAATTAAAATTAACACATAAAAAAGAATGGTACAATCTAGTATTGAATCATTTAGGAAAGAGAAGTGTCATGGAGTGGGTGTGGGGAGTAGAGGAAGTATTATACTGAATAAGTATATAGGCAAAATTAGGATATTGGCAATATTGATTTATCACACTCATCATTTTCTTTCTGCTGCTGTATCACCAAGCCAATCCTGTGCTCAGCTATCCTAGATAGGATATAACCTTCATAGGATAGTATTCTATCTGGATGATACCTCAGATAACAAGTTAATTTAGACAGTTTTCCTAAAGTGACTGATATTTAGCCAATTCATTTATAGCTCATTCAAAAGACAGACTGAACCACTTTGCTAGTAATATAAAGATAGGAATGACTTACACTTAAACATTGGAAAAATTGTTTAATGCTCTCCCATAGATTAAAAATGAGGTGGCTTCACCACTTACATCGAGAGAATGAAGATGTAGGCACCAGCACAACACAGAACTGAGAGAGGGATAGGCTGGCCAATACCTGTCTCAAAATTTCTCCACTGCCATTGATCAAATCTCTATGTATCACTATGTATCCCTTGATAGCATCTTCCACACTCTGTACAAGGCTTCATATAAAAAGATCCATTGTCCAGCTGCTCTAAAAGTGAAGTCATTCTGAGATGTTGTTTTTAAAAATAGAAATCTCATTCTCTTCTACACTTAAAACACTTTGTTTCCCAGCACAATGGGAACACTGAAGTTCAATGTGCCCAAAGTATTTTCGTGGAAGACAAAATATAGAAAGTCACTTTTGTTGATATTAACATTTAAAAAATCATTCTCAATTCTTCTCTGTGTTTGTGGTTAATATTTTAGGTGATAACTTGATTACTGTTAAGTATTTCTAGGAAAAACCAATTATGGTTTTCTGTGGCTAGGTGACATATAAATTTTCAAGGAACATGATCTTGACAAATGAATTGAAAAGGTTCCTAAGAGGATTTAAATGCTGGACCTAACTAGCACATGCTTCCAAGAAACTGTGGTAGATAAGCCCAGATTCCCATTGTTATAGAGTACACAAGAATCCATAGTAGGAAAAAAGTATAAGTAGGAGCACAGAAGTTGAGAATTTATTGGGAATGTTGCCTTCCTTGGGAGAAGGAACTTTTTTCCCCATTATTAGTTTATTTTGAGCATGTTTTAGGGGTTTTTTGTTTTGTTTTGTTTTTTGTTTGGTACCAGAGATTGAACTCAGGGGTACTTAACCAATGAGCCACATCCCAAGCCCTATTTTGTATTTTAGTGAGAGACAAGGTCTCAATGATTTCCTTAGTGCCTCAGTTTTGCTGAGCCTAGCTTTGAACTCGCCATCTTCCTGCCTCAGGCTCCTGAGCCTCTGGGATTACAGGTATGTGCCACAGAACCAGGGTATTTTAGGAAATTTTTTTTAAGGTATGAAATTTGCATTTTCTTAGCAAACATTAAAGAGTACATGACTTAAAAAGAGTAAAAAGGGAAGGATATTTGAGGAAAAGGAAACATGCACAGACCAAAAAGAAAAAGTTAAAAGAAACAAGATATGAAGAAAAGGAATAAAAGTAAAATCATTCACTGGGAAACAAAAGCAGGAAATTTCTTATATTTAAAAGAAAGTTCTAATTTTCTGCTGTTTGTTGTTCTCTGTTCAGGAAGCTTAAATTGCTTTTGTGTGAAAAAAATATTATTATAATATATTATTCAATATTATATTTGTTTATAAGTTATTATAAAATAACTTATAAACAAATATAAACCTTTGCTTTAAAATATTTCTTTCCCGAATCTTGGCAGTATTTTAGATTCTAGCCTTTATTTATTCCACATAATGTCTATCAGTGCTTATTTAGTCCCTGCATTATTTTTCAAGACAATCAATTAACATTAATAAAATGTGTTCATTTGTGGCATTGATGAGGATGCAATAATTTCTGTCTTGGAGCAGTTAATTTAGCTGAGGTGCCAACATGTCAAGCTTTTGTAAAAGGATTTGTAATGATAGGGCAGAATGTAGGACCAAATCATTGGCACAAATAATAATCTGCAAATTAGTAGAATAAAGGGAGACCCACAACTGTTTTTGTTATTTGCTCAGTGCACAAAACCCTTCTGGAACTTAGCACTTTAAAGCCACAAGCTTTTCATTTGTTCATGTCAGTAATTTGGAATGGACTCAACTGAGGCTCTTGCTGGTCTCTTCTGGGCTTGCTCATATATCTATTGACTTCTTTGGGAATTGAGGCTGAACTCTCAAAGATGGCCTTACTTCTGTTTTTTGTTTTGTTTTTTGTTTTTGCCTGCTGGTGCTGGTTGCCATCTGTCTCCAGCTGGCTTGCTTTGTCTTCTTCACATGAGGGCATTGTTCCAACAGGGTGTAGATGGAATCTGTGCAAGCTCTGTCTTGAAGCTTAAGCTTGACAGCTACACAACATCAATTCCATTGCTTTCTTTGGGCAAAGCAAGTGAGTAGGCCAATCCACATCTAAAGGCTAGGCAAGTAGATTCTCTCTTGATGGAGAGAGCTACAAATAATTTGTGGCCATTTTGAATCTGTCAAGTGTCTAAACTTGATTTTTTTTTTTTAACGACTTCAAAATCTAGTATAGAGGATAATTTGGCCTATATTTTGCATTTGTTTCTCAAAATCAACATATGCCAAACTGAAGGGATCAACCTTGACCTATCCTTGGTGACTGTCATCTGCCTCCATCTGGTCAACCAAAATATTTGAGGTTAGCTCAATTCCCCCCACCCTTTTTTTTTTTTTAAACATGTCACCACATCCAAATAATTCCCATATGCAACGTTTCTCTAGGTTCTATTTTAGTGCATTTCCTTATCACATATCATTTGAAACGACATGGTTGTCTTTCTGTGTTCAGTTTGACTAAATTCCAGTGTATTCTTTATATTTTCACAGCTATCCTTCCAAAAGAAAGCCTTGATTCTGCCACTTATGTTCTTGAAAATCCTTCATTTCATTCCTTCTGAAAAACAATTATTCTTAGCATGAATGACTGTCTAGATGTAAAGGTTTTTCACTATCACACCTTTTACACCCTTTCTAGCCCCCCCATCCCCTCTCATCATTTAACTTATCTGCCACTCCCTATGTGCGCAAACTAATTCCAAATCTTCATGCTTTGCTCAAGAGTTACCTCTGTTTAGAATAAATGTTCGCTTTTCTTCACATTTGGCCTCCAAACTCATTCTCATCCTTCCAGGCTAAGCATTAAATTCACTTTCTATGAAAATGTGCCAACTCCTTCAGGCAGAGTTATGTTTGAATCCTCTGTTCTGATCACATTTTGACCTACTGCTAATGAAGTTGCCATATTGAAATCATTTCTTTCTTTCTAGTCTTTGTCAGGGTACAAGCACCTCGAGGGTAGAGAAAGTTTTTTCATTTTTATGTTTCTGGTATTTACCAGATAAGATGACAGATAAGTTAAGAAGGTTCTATAAAAGCTAAATTGGATTAAGGAAAAGTGATAAAGTCCAGTTCAAGGAGAACAATGCAGGTTAATAGGGCCTTTCACAGTTTTTTGAAACTATATCACAGTAAAACACACATTCTGTGATCTGGTATACATACACATAAAGGAACATAAAATGGTTCTTAAAAATAGGTTCGTAAAGTAGGGTTCCTCCCTTTTTGTGGGGGGCACTGGGGATTGAACTCAGGGCCACCCAACCACTGAGCCATATACTCAGCCCTATTTTTTTTTTTTTTTTTAATTTAGAGACAGAGTCTCACTGAGTTGCTTAGCATAAAAAGCCTCACTTTTTGCTGAGGCTGGTTTTGAACTCGAAATCCTCCTGCCTCAGCCTCCCCAACCCCCGGTGTTACAGGCATGCACCACTGCACCCAGCTCCTCCCTATTTTTAATAAGATCTAATATTTCCTATATTTATTTAGTTTTTGTGGCCCTGGGGATTGAGTTCAGGGCCTTGTGTATGTTAGGCCAGTGTTCTACTACTGAGAGCTCTGCCATTGAGCTACCTCTCCAGCTGCCTTCTATTTTTATTTTATTTTTAAAAATGCTTATTCCTACTCACTCAATTGAGTGCTTAATGAAGTGACCCACAGATGTCTCTGACCTGATACCTGCAAGCTGTTAGTATAGGACAATGAAAACATACTTCACTGATTTCACAATTTTTTCCAAGGTGGATCCTGTTAGTCTCTCAAATAATTCCACAGTATCAAATATATTCAGGGGTTTTCTTATTGAAATTCCTTAGGTGAATGAAGATTTTACTTTAAAATCATAGCTATAAGGTGGTTTAAAATTTATGGCTTAATGGGCCTTATGAAAGAAGAGCATTAACTTGCCAGGCACATTATTAAAACTTGAGTGGCATTTATAATCATTTGTAAGAACCTATCACATTGTACATAATTTTGATTATAAACAAAACAGGATAAAATTTATACTTGACTTAAGTAGTAAAACTATCTTGCCCTTGAGTTGTAAATGATTCAAATAAGCAATGAATAAATTACTCTTAACTTTCTCATTTTTCATCTACTGTCATCTTTTAAAGAAATTTTGCTTTCAAATGTCAATATTAAATTTGGAAACAGTACATTTTTTCTAAGAACACAACATATATATCTAGAAAGAAATCTACGTTTTGTTACCAAACTTCACATCAGTTTATTTTATATTATTAGTAGTAATTAATAGTATTAAGGACTTTACACAAATTAACTCATTTAACAAAAGGTAGACCATTTCAACATCTAATTTATTATCACAGATGTAATTTTTTTAAAAAAAGCAACCATTTTGCTTGCACTTTTTCATGGCACTTCTTTTTATTAGCAAATTTCTTTTCAAATCTAAATTATAAAGAAAACAGATACCTACTTAATCAGCAAGTGCATTTGTGTGTATGTGTGTATATATTTTCGTTTGTAAGGCAGATGGACAGCGCAGAACTACAGCCAATTCTGGGGAATGACTTTAGAAGAAGGTTTCAAATTTCGCCTTGGCACCTTGCCACCCAGCCCCATGCTTCTGAGCATGAATGAGATGACAGTAAGTGCTTTTCCTGATTCACATTTGTGCATGTGTTTGCATAGGGGTATTTCATATGTATGTCCAAAGCAATTCAAAGTAACTAAAATATTGAGTTGTAAGCCTTTGAAGTTACAAAAATACAATTTCTTTATATCGATTTGAAAATATTTCCCCAAAATGGTTGTTTTATCCTACAAAAGTCTCATGTGAACTTTGAAAGTTCAACTACACATAATGTCCTTTAATAATGAAGGGGTGTTGCCTATAGTTTCACAGAAAAGCATATTTTTTATGACAGGTTGTTCAGCTTGTCAGTGCTTTCTCAAGTCCTCACCCTTATTTTATTTTTAACTACAGAGTTATTCTGTGAGTTTATCTAAACTCTGTTTTGATGCCTCTTGGACTACTCAGTATCATATAAGATTGAAATAAATGCTGGCAACTTTAAACATGCGTGTTATGATGATTAACAAAATCTTCAAAATCTTCAAAATTTCCATTAAGAAAATACCTTCACTTTTGCAGAGTGACCTGGAAAACTCCTTTGTAAAATTGCCTGAGTGTCCAATAGACTTACGCTTTGTACTTTGTATTGGTTTTTGTTTTCCTTTGTAAGATGTATTATCATCTGCTAATGGAGAAGTTGCATAAAGAAATTTCTATTTCTCTAGGTAAACCCACTCAGAGTTTACTTTCCACCCCAGTGTGTGGTGTTACCCGTTACATGCACTTTCTAGTTGAGATGTTGATTTTATGCAAGGCTGTCACTGATGCCCAGGGCGGGGTGGGACTTCAGGCCACTGAGTGCAACTTCTCTAGTCTGCAATGAAGAAGTCAGGCTCTGGCTGCCTAGACGCTCTCAGCATCTGGAGACAGCAGGGTTTTTGTTTGCAGCTGGATGAGTTGTAAACCCACTGGTGACTCATTAAACATTTCACCTGAACTCAAATTTACAGAGCTCTGATCACCTGAATTATTGTTCCAATTCAAATTCTAGTAGCAAGATCTGTTAAATTATAATTAAGCTCAGAGAAGATAATAATAACTGACTTTTACTGAGTGGTGTCTTAAGCTCTTTTATACTTTATCTCATTTAATTTCCTCAGCCGCTTGATGTCATCAGTACTATCATTACCCACATTTTAAAGACAAGCAAATTAAGATGTAGAGAGGTTAAGTCACAATGATAGTCAGAGAGGCTAAGAGCCATTGCAGAATTAAATTGCAGATCCAGGACATTTACAAGGATCTGTTCCCCAAAATAGTCCTTAGCATTCCAGTAGAGTCAGTTAGCTTTAGCCAATTCAGGTTCAAAGCAGAAAAAAAAAAAAAAAAAAGCCTTTTAACCTCCTAACCAGAGATAATTTTCCGAAATGATCAGTTTAAAGATATTTTTGGATCTTTTGCTACAATCAGTAAGACAAAATCTTTGGCGTGATAGTTCAGATTCATCAGATTCATGACTTTTTAGTGATCTAATTAAAAGATCAGTTGGAAAAGAGTCATTTTTATTATAACAGTTTTATTTTCTCTTTTTTGTCCCCATCTGGGAAAAAAAGAAGCAGCATTGTTAAAGAAAATACTTACCTATTAAGGTCTATTCTTCCACTTTCTTTTTTTCGAGGGCCATGTTGGACCAAACATTTATTAAGGAGTTTTCTCAGTATTATTCATAACATTTCTCTTCTAAATTTTATTTTTTGTAGCTTGGAAGGATTTATAATCTAGAGAAAATGAAGTATGTTTCTTTCTCAAGTTGCCATTCACCGTAGGAGAAAAAAATCTAATTCTAAATCATTTATTGGCTCCTAGGGATTTATTTGCATAAAAGGTTCTGTGTTGATATATAAGTGAAAATTCTTAATGACTAATACTTGAAGAAAATTTAAATTGTTAGTGGTATAAATTAATGCATATGGTTGCCAAGTAATTCCAGGAAAGCAATAAGGAAACTCCTGGCATATGGGGAATTCCATTAACTGCTAATGAAAACAGGCAAGAAAACAGCTTCTTATTTCTAGGGCATGGTGGCTCATGGACTGTTTCTGAGTGTTGGAGTTGTCCTAATAACTGGTCAAATAAAAGAAATTCCCAGAAATATGACAAGGATTTCTAGAAAAACATATGGGGTCAATAGGATCTGAGTTGAGCTGGAAGCCAGAGAGATCAAAACTGGTTTAATTCTGAGCCTGGGGACTACATAGAAAACACCTAATATACGATGTCAGACTCCAACCACAGTGAAAAGGAAAATGCTTCAGGAAACTGAAATTTTCCCTCACCTCTCGCCATTTTACAATTTTGTTAGTTAGTTTCTTTGTTTATTTTTGTGTTGCTATGAATTAAACCCAGGGTCTTGAACATGCTAAGTGGGAACTTTAACAGTGAGCTACAACCCCAGCCCCTTCTAAAAAGAAATATCAGGCTGGGGCTGTAGTTCAGTGGAAGAGCTCTTGTCTAGCATGTGCAAGGCTCTGGATTTAATCCCTGGCATTGCAAAGAAAAAATAAATAAATATATAAAAACAACAATACAGAATGGACTGATTTATATGTATAGTGAATTATGCAGTTGCCAATAGTGGTATGATTTCTAGCCTGCTGAGAAATTCCACTGTCCCCAAACCCCCAGGTCTCTCCCTTTTCCTGGCTGCATTGCTAGGATGCTCATTGACTCAAGATATATTTTTTTTCTCTGGGTAGAAAAAGTGAGTGATGAATTATCTTCTGTTCCTGAGAAAGCTCTTCTCTTCCTGCCTAGTTTGGCTAGTTTGCTGGTTTCATTCCTTAGCATAAGTCACTATTTGCCCATAATGTGTCTACTGTGCTGAAGTTAGAGGACTATTAATAGGTGTTGTGCAAAAATGTCCTTGATTGTATAAATGTGAAAACTCTTTTTAACCTATATGAATTAGTTCAATCAAAACACATATTTGCAGAGTATGATTAGTTACGGTGAGGAACAGAAATATGTTTATAGTGAGGCAAGCAGGTAACTTGGAGACTTTGGAGAGGCCTTTCTGGATGATAATTGTTTGGTTTATATATGAGGTATCCTCCAAAAGCTCATCTGTGAGACAATGCAAGAATGTTCAGAGGTGAGATGATTAGATTATGAGAGTTGTACCCTAGTCAGTGGACTAATCTACTGATGTGGATTAAATGGCTGATAACTGTTAATAGACAGGTAGGGTACAGCTGGAGGAAGTAGGTCTCTGAGGACATTTCTATGGTGTTTATATTCTGTTCCTGGTGAACAGAGCTTTCTCTCTTTGCTTCTTGTTTGCCATGTCCTGAGCTGCTGTCATCCACCATACTCTTTTTCCATGATGTTCTGCCTCACCTTCCACCTGGAGCTATGAAGTCATTGGATAGATTGAACCTCTGAAACCATGAGCCAAAATAAGCTTGTCCTCCTATAGCATGTGTGCGGGTTGGGTTTGAACCTCAGCACTGCAAAAACAAAGCTCCATAGAGGCAGTGTGTTCAGTGCAGCCAGTATGCTTGGTTCTCATTCTGGCTGCTCCACTTGTTGCCTCTCTCTTCCTTCATAAAATGGTGACTGTGGTCTTACCTAGCTCTTAGGGTTGTATGAGTTCATGAAATGCTGGGTGAGCAGTGCTTATCAAAGTACTTAGGATACTGTTAGGTGTTAAAGAAGTGTTATTATTTAGAATTAAGCATTGTTTCTCTCCCTTGTATTATTAACTTCTAGAGAATCACAGGATTCTGAAACAGGTCAATTCTTCCAGAATTTAAGTATCCAAACCTTCATCATTTGTAGCATTTTATTTCATATAGAGAGGTGTAGGCATTGATTCATTGGTTCTGATGGAGATTACATATTTCTGATGAACCTGAAAATTTTTCTGTTATACTCTCAGATCAAATCAAATCAACTCTGCATATGATTGTTTTCCAGACTAGCAAACAAGTACTTTTGAATTTGGAAGATAGCTTTGAAAAGCCTCCCTGTGTTGTATTTCATTATAAATATTGAAAATATTTTGAATGAAAAAAAGACTATTTTCACCCAGAAATGTGGAAATTAAAAGGTTACTTTTATATGTGGCTCAGTTTAAAAAATGTAATAGTTTTTTTTTTATTATTATTGCTGACTCCTCAGAAAGAATAATTAGGTATTATATCTAAGGTGGAATGATTTAAAATTAAGACTGGCATAATATTTTAAACCTATAGACCTATACTATGTCATGTGACATAAGACTGGTGTAGGTAAAAATATTATAATTTTTTTAAGTTAACTAGCAAAACATGTTTTCTCAGTCACTCAATATGAATGAGTCTAGTTGGATAAATTAATAAAGAAACATGTTATAATTTTTCTGTACCAGTTAGAAGATGAAATAATTTTATAATAAATAAATATATAATATTTATATAATATATAACTATTATAACTTTAAAAATCACCAATTTTTAGGTGAGAATTTTTTTTTAAAAATCATTGAATCATTTGGATAATTCATCATTACCTAGATAACACATAGTTGATTAATTGGATTTATTTCTCTAGTCATTAGTTAAAATAGGAGAAATTTATTTATTTTTTCCTTACCTCTATGAAATATTTCAATGATGGCAAGTACTAAGACTTGAGAAATACCTTTGGAAAAGTCAAATCTTTCCAAGTTTAGGTTTTGACTAATCCTAGGTTATTGAAAACAAATTTTAATTATGAATAACTGACCAAATGAATATCTTCAACTTAACTCCAAGAATATGTACCCTGTGTAAATAGAAGCCTCTATAGAAACAAAAACATTGACTACAAAAGTAAAAAATACAGTTCTGTAATTATGTATTTTACATAACATTGGACAAAAACAACCATATTTTCCCTTAAAATTGATCTTTGGCTCCCACATACATGCATATAAGTCATATGGGCTCAGAGTTCCAAAATACAGTCAGTGGCATTGGTGCTGCAGAGGAGGACATGGGCAGATTTGGTAGTGTCCTTGTTTACATATATGTTCACTTAGCTCACCTCATAATCTTCTCATGTAGTTGAGAGAAAAGCCAAGGACAGAGGAGGATGTCAGTTATTTTAACTGACATAGAATTAATGATTTTAAAATTCAAAAATCATCAAAACATTTACTTAAATGTCTCTCCAGTCTCTTTTCTGTTAACTCCCTTCTCAGAGTGGAACCCCAAACCCTTCGTAACCTTTAGAAAAGACACATGCCACTTCACTCCCTGTTTACCTGCTCTTGTGGCAGAATGAATGTCTTGTGTCTCAAATAGGTTTTCCAGCTTTCAGTTTTGTCTTTCTATACTAGTCACAGTCAGATGAGTAGCACTGTGGTATAATTGAACACGACTTGACCAACGCAGTGGGACTAAATTGATCACTGCAGGACAAATCTTCAAAAAGAAATGTGAAAATTTATTTTTTCGTCTGTATGAACAAATACGTTGGGCTGATAAAAAGTAGATTCCTGAGGTGATCTCGTGTGTTGATTTAACAGGTACCTACTCTGGCTTTCCCATGCCTGGGTCTATCTTTTCCATATATACTGTTTCTTCCCAAAGTCTATTACACAAAACACTGAGGCTTTGATCTGCTTCACAATAGAAATGATAGGAATTGAAAAGAAATAAAGTATTTTGTATTGGAAAAAATCATGAACATTATTTTCACTTTTTAGAGCCTCACATAAATTCGCATTTTGTAAAAACACATTGCAGAGAAGACAAATATCTATTTAATTTTCAAAAACAATTGTTCCTTAGAACTGTTTGATTAATCAGCTTCTTCATTTTTAATTACCTGTTAAAATCCCTCAGGGCTAGTGTTCTAAGAAACTCATTTTAGGAAATGTGGTTCATCCATTTTCAGATATATGCATTCTTCACTTTTTAACACCTCTGAAATTGGAATTCTTTCTTAACATTTGATCATGTGATGGGGTCGATGAAAGATGGCATTACCCTAGTAGCTTTAATAATTCTGTGCTATACTGGTCATGACTGGGCTCAGCTGTGAGGCACAGAAACTGAAAGTGACAGTGACATAAACAATGCAGACATTGATGTCTCACTAGCAAATCTAGAAGTGGGTTGTCCTGCAATGGAATTGTACTCAATGGGGCTGAATGTCCAGACTTCTTTCTTCTTTTTGCTCCATTGCACAGGGCCTTTATTTCCAAGGTCATATGAGGGATCAACAAAATTGCTCCATGTCCATCTCTACTGCCCAAATTCCTGCCAGTAACAAAAATCAAAATACCCAGAAAAAAACAGTGAAAGTCAAGAGCCAGTCGTCTCTTAAAGAAACTTCTTAACGCTTTTTCATAAGCTTGAAAATGGTAATAATAGCAGAGGGGTGTGGGAAACAGTCATTTTGCTGTCTTTAGAAGAGGTGCTAGGACCTGCCATAGAACAATCACTGAGTATTGATATTTACAAGATCATTGAAAATTACTCTATAATTAGAAACCAGAGAAATATCAAAGGATAAGTCTTTAAATGTTAAGGCATGAAGGCAAATACCATTGAAGACAAGAGTTTCATTTAGCCACTAGCAACCAGAAAATTAGCCCTTTCTTTTTTAATATCAAATAGTTTAGAAAAAATTCTTGATATCCATAGCCACTGATCTAAGACTAATCAGAACAGAGTTATATTTTCTGTTGCTTTATTTCAGTCTCAGATGTCTCTGATTATCCAATAAAAGTGGCACAAAAATGCAATTAGAGCTGGAGGGGGCAATTCGCATAATGGATTGTGTGTAGGTATAGGCTCAACAGTAAGGATGAAAAGAGCTTATTCTGAGGTGGTTGAGAAAATTGATCAGTTTGTCTCAAGCTGCTCTCTGATTGCATTCTCATTACTCCTTCAGAGATTTTACTTTAATAAGATATGGGAGTTATTGGAAACAATTTCTCCACTGTTTATCACTATGTTTAATTCTCATATTTGTCCATAATATCTTTAAATTCTAATTTTTAAATAAAAACATTAAAGCGAGGTAAATATTAAGTTTAATCACAAATTTGGCTAATACATACTTGAAAATATAATTAAATTATGATTGAACTTTTTTCAACATGACAATATAAAGAATTAAAAATTCTCACATGGAAGAGTGGAAATTTTACTTAAAATTAAATTGATATTTTATTTGAAACACCAATTTTGGAATTTCTTTCACTCTTAGATGGTTCTTTTGATTCTTTTCTTTTATTAAATTATCATTTGACAAAAATACAAATTGTGTAAACTTTAAAAAAAAAACCTATCATTCATTGAAATCAGAATTCTATTACCAGTTCCTTAGTTGTTATTTTGTAAGGCTTACCTTTATTTGTGAGTTATAAAAGCAATCTTATTTTTTAGAGGATTACAATATGTATGGAATAATGGGATATAAAATGTTCTCTGTGTTTAGTATACTAGATTATCTGATATCATAAAAGAAAAAGAATCTCAAGATAATATATGCCTGATCCACTTAAGTCCCAGAGGCTTATTTTTAGAAAAAGCAATATTAAATGATTGGTAAAAATCTTTAAAAATTCAATAGATGAACTTTATGAATTCATTGGGATTAGTGGATTCATAAATATATTTTCAATAAAAATGTCATTTTGAGTGTTATTTCTCTATGCCTTATTTTATTAAGAAGGATTACCCAGTCATACTTTTTATTTTTAAGGAATAAATCATAAAAGCAACAAATGCATGCTGATATAATAATTTAACTTAAAGTGCCTTCAGGGGAAAATACATTTTTAAGAGATGAAATTTACTGATATATATATATATATATATATCTCCTATTATTATTATCAGATTTATTGTCTCCCATGTGCAAAGTACTGTGGTAGTCTTTGAATGTGGAAGTCACATTCTGAAGAACTTAATGCCACTGAAATGTGTATAAAGTAATAGTTATATCTTTATTGCTTCAGCAGAGCAGAAGGGATATATACTAGGTGTTATTAAATTGGAATTCTAAAGTAATAAAATAATAACTGACGCTCCACTTATTTTTGTGGAAACTTGAGGCAACTTCATGATAAATGCCTAAATGCACACTGGTTGGTTGATAATAAAAAAAAAATGGGAAGGTATGTGTATTTCTACCCCATTTAGAAAGATACCTTGGAGACAGAGTTTTTATCTCTGAAACTACTCAGAGCAATAAATTTGTTCTCCTCCAACTTTGAGGTTCTGTGTTATCGTCCATCTAATGGCATTAGAATCCCAAACACTTGTCTTTTTATAAAACTACTCTTTAAGTTATCATGCAGGGACTGTACTGTGATCCAATGATGTTCTTGGCACTTTATTCCATTATCTAAGTAGCAGTGTTTTTAGTAATGGATGCAAGATTTAATAACTTTCTTATCAGGTGGTAATAGTTCTCTAAATCAAAACTGAGTGCTCCTGTTAATGTTAAAATTTATAAATTATTTTGGATGGATACCTTTTAAAGAGATATGTAAATTCTAAATCTTCCTGGCTTTAGACTTAGAAGCTATTATGTACTTGTCAGAAATAATTCCTTGGAAGATATCAGATCAGTAGCTTCACTTGTTCAATTTATAATCAGAAAACTTTTAAACAGGTAAAATTTTATCTTTTACAGACATTTTACTTCTGCTACAAGGTAGTATATCTTTGTATTTCTGATAAAGTAGAAAAATTATAGAAATGGAGAATGATTTTAAGAACTCTAAAACCTGGATCTAGTTCCAGAAGTAAATCTTATTTAGCTTAGAGTCCTTAGCATGTCTTAGCTTTCAGAAATCAGTTACCTTATCCACAAAAAGGAGTCAACAATATTTGCTCTAATTATGCCACATAGGGCTGCTAAGAATATAAAAAAATAATGAATATTAAAAGACTTTGAAAAATTTTAAAGTACTCTCAAAAATTTATGAGCAAGCACATGTGTGTGTGTATGGGTGTGGACATGTAACCTAAGAAGAAAATTTAATAAACAAATCCTCCTTTGGTTTGATTTCTGATTTTTTTGGAAGTGAAAGTCATCACTCTCTAGTACAGTTTAGAAGAGAATATGGTATGGTGCTACAGATTTTGTTTGAGATATAAACAGAAAAAAATTTCATAACATTTAATGTGCAGTCTTTGAAAGACAACAATAAAGATTGACTCAGGCTTTTAACGTGGACTTTTTGCACATTTGTTATTACACACTTAATGTCCTTTTTAATCTCCAAAAATTTAATAAACATCAACCAATTCATTTTGTTTTAGTTTCCCAATAACTGGTGTAGAATTGATGTGTTCCTTGGGGCTCCAAGTGTGTTAATAGGTAGTTGCTATAAGTGCATCATCTCAAAGCCAATTTCACCTCAGAATCACACTCACTCTCCAAAATGGGAGAGACAGAAAAGAAAACATTCTTTATGAGGACAAATTTAGAAAACCTCATGTGGTCTTTCACATGGATGAACAAACTCTGATTCAAGATGACAGAAACTTTGGCTGAAATTTTTGCACTGCATGGTAACTCAGAAAAAGCATTCTATGTATTGTTCTTGTGATTTTGTATTATAATTCCACACACTGAATTGCCATTTTTAAACACAGAGTGAAGTAAAAATTCTATATAATTATGCTTTATTCAGAAACTTGAATATACAAGAAAATTGAAAGTCAATTATAAGCTTTATTAAAAGGCATGATATCTTCTTATAATGGCTGTTGGGATGCATTTGAGAAAATCTGATTTATCTGACTTTCTTTCCTCTAGGCTTCTTTACCTGCCAAGACAGATCTTCCAGAATTTTTTATTGCTTCTTATAAGTGGCCTGGATGGACTCATGGGCCATTGGATCAAAAAAATTGTGCTGCATCCTGGGCATTTTCCACCGCAAGTAATAGTCATTTTAATTACTTCCTCATAAACTCCCTTTTCACTATAGAGCCTAAGAGGGTAATTAAAAATGTTTTTAAATTAAAATATTTAAATATTAACATATGGTCAATTAAAATAAAACCATACTCTGGCAAGAGAAAACTATCTGAGGAATATAAGTTTTAGTCTAAAAATTGATCATTAACATCTAATTTTAGATACAGAATGAATTTAAAGTTCAACAAAGTAAAGTTGCCAGAATTTGTTCAATTTTTGAGAGTTAAAGTCAGATAATAAGAAGGGTATTAAGGTTCCTCTGCACCCATAGAATTATCTGTACTCCTGACATGAATATACACACCCTCACATAATTATTACATATTTTTAGTAAGTTCACCATATATGTATATATAAATATGCATATATATATATATATATATATATATATATTTAGCTATTAGACTATTCTGAAGTAAAGCTTAGAATTAAATTATCAAATATGTTTTTTCTCATCTGAAATAAAAATAATTCTGACTCTAAAGTGATATAACTGATGTTTAAATAAAATTAACTTACAGTTTTATATTAATGTTAATCCAAAAATGTAAAGAATGCTTCTTTTATAGCTACTTTAATAGAAGTTCACAAGTCAACTAAATAAGTTACTTAGGCCCACCCTAAGATTTTATGTCCAAAATTATCCTCAAAAAAGTACTGATTGTATTTCAGCAATTTAAAAATGTTGACATGATGAGAACTGGACACTATCAAAGATCTTGTGTTCAAGGTTTATAGATAATTTCAAAAGAGTGCTCAAAAACAATTTAAAGCACTGACAACATTACAAAGTAAATGCATAGGCTCTTGGAGCAGCCAGCTGTGAAGTAGGCTGACATCTTTGTCTATATGTCATTGCTTCATGGTATCTGTGAGTTACTCCAGAGATGCCTTTAGCAGAACTGGAGTGTTGGCCAGGCTCACCTCTGGAATGGCTGCATCTGTTAATTTAACATTGCTGCCCAGACCTCCTGTGTAAATGCTCTCTGTAGCTCTGTTGTTTGTATTTACCAAGTTAGGGACTTTTCTAAGACCTGTTTCAGATGGGTTGGGAGAGATTTAATCATTTACATCATTTGCCCACTTATATTCATGTGGTTAATGACTTACACCTCCAAGGTGATATGTAACAACTTAGCCTTAAATTTAAGCTAGATTAGTATTTCTGGACATTTAAGGAAAGTTGTTAGCAGTGAAAACTGAGAGAGACTTGCTAGGCCGATTTGGAGGCTGTCTTGGTATCTCTAGGTCACAGCTTCACAGATAGACTTAGCACAGGGCCAAGTCTAGATTGTCCTCCCACCTAATTCAAATAGTTCCCACAAAGACTATTTGAAATTATTTTGTGGTTTCAGAGGACTCAGTTTTGTATTTCATGTAGTACATATGGTAAATTGGACCTATTATATTTGTATGTGTGTGTTAAATTTTTTAAAAAATGAACTAAGTTCTAAAGATATACAGAAAATTGTATCCGGAGGTAGAAGTTGAAATAAGAAAAATATTTTAAAGAGAAACTAAAAGCTACAACATGGAATAGAAGAAAAACTTAAAGGATGTACATATATAGAAAAGGTTATGTAACCAAATAAAATTCAAGCATTTGACAGAAGCTGAAGAGGTAAAGGTGTTGGAATGGTGGGAGTTATATGTGCCACAGAGTAAATTTGGAGACAGAATAAAACAAACAGGGAAAATAATAGTGTGTCTCAGAGGTAACATTCAATAAAATTTTTAAAAAGAGAGCAGAAAGCAATAGACTAAACTGAGTTATTCTTAAATTTTCTGACCTTTTCCAAGCATTTCAGGTAAATTTGGATGAAACTTTCAGTGAGATCCAGAAATGTCTATATAACATAGAGCAACAGATTGCATAACATTATGATTTTAAACACTTACCTTTTAGTGGAAATCTAGACTGATGTGGCTTGAGTAAATTTTAGAGGTCCTCCTTTTCAATCCTCCCATCTTATAAAGAGAGCCCAGTAGATTAGGTGACTCACCTAGAGCCAAGACAGGAGACATGACTACTGTTGACACCATGAAAGTGTATTTTGAACAAATTAAATTTCACTAATATTTAAAAAAATTATATTTGATTCTGAATCCTTATAGTGAATGTCAAAGCATCAAAGGATTTCTATTTTCTTTTATGATACAAGGAATTATTCCCTTGAGGATTTCAGAAATATTAGTATAGTGCCATTTACTCCTAATGAAATGTATCCTAGCATCCTCAATAGACAGAAATTGAGAAGGAAGTGGAGGTTATAGATTTAATACTTATTAAGCATATAAACTGTATTAGCAATTGCACTATGGAATGGTACACATGCTGTAGTTACATAAAATTCATATACAGAGATCCATTTGTAAATGCATTATTTAAAATGAATTATTTTAGAAAAAAACTTAAATGAATATTTTGAGGGGTTCCAGTGCACACATAATTCTTTTTTTTTTTAGAAAGAGAGAATCTTTATTATTTATTTATTTATTTTGTAGATGGACACAACACAATGCCTTTTTTATTTTTATGTGGTGCTGAGAATCAAACCTGGGTCACGCCTGTGCTAGGCGAGCACTCTACTGCTGAACCACAATCCCAGCCCCCACACATAATTCTGATGGGAAGAAAATTGACTTCCCCTGAGAAAAAGAATGAATACAAAAAAAAAAAAAAAAGAAAGAAAAAAGCTATCTGTTGGCTTTAACTAAGAATGAGTAAGGGTTAGCCTGATAGTAAACATCAAAAATGATACAGTTATAGTTATCCAACAACAAAAAAATCTGTTTTTAAAATACTACTCACCCTAATTTTTTCATGGTCTCATCATTTACAATATCATGAAATCATGTTCAAAATGACGATATGTAGATTTCTGCTACTAGTAGGTTAGTTTTTCTAGTCTATTATTCTATGAAGGCAGAATTATATATATTTTTTAATTCTTGCTCATTATTGTAATTTTTAAAGCTACCATGCTTTTGACCTAGTAGTGCTCAGTAAGTGTATTGAGGGAGGGATGAACTTATGGCTACTACAATGCCAAGGAATTATTTAAACAGAATAGTCAATCATAAATGATTAATGTGGTTCTCAATATAACTAGTAACATTAATTAATGTTATTAACAATGATATTAATAATAGTTAAAACTGTATTATAAATTATATAATACATATCACTAAGTATATGTAGTGTTGGACCACCCTCTGACAGAGGTTGAGGAGCATCACTAGACCAGCTAGTGAGTGTCTCCCGGCTGAGCGAGAGGGTAAGTGTCGAGACCCGGCCCGCCACCCAGCCTGGCAAAAATCACACCGAGTTGGGAGTTGAGTCAGCTGAGATGGCGCAGCAACTCAGTTTATTGTGGAAGGAGAGGACTTATATAGAGAGAGGAGAAGGGGGGGACAAAGGCAGGGGCCAATCAGAGATCGGAGTGTCCCCCAGGTTGGGGTAGCCTAGGCACCCCAGTTACAGAAACAGAGCCCTGTTACCCTAGTTGCAGAAACAGAGCCCCGTTACCCTAGTTACAGAAACAATACCCCATTAGGTATGTGTGTCCCATTGCTGGGGAGTTATTGTGTTTGCGGAAGCCATATCTTGGGGCCATTCAGGCATGTATATGGAAGCCCTTTCTCAAGCTCTAACTGTCACATACATGGAGAATCACAAAATCAGAATCACAAGACTGGGGATTTCTTTCCCCAGTGATTGCACTTCCGTGGTCAGCAGAGGTCCCAACAATGTAGTATCATATATAATATACATAATTACTGTAACTATATTATTGTGTGTCACTGACTAGTAATATTAATTAATTATAAGAGTTAATGATAGTTTTAAGTATATTTAGCTAAAAACATACTCACTTTGTATATAAAAGTGAAGTCTATGTTTACTGAAATAAGATTAAGATAATTATTTTCAACATATTACAAGCATAAAAGTGTGCTATGTAGCTTTAAGGTATTAGATAAATTTATAATAGTTTGAATTAGCTGAAGTATGTTCTCCTGGGTAGTTAAATTAGATATCAATTTAAAAAGGAAGGATTCAATTTACTCCAATATATCAAATTAACATGGGTGAATTTTCAGTTAATATTTTTACAATCCATTTTCTTAATTTCTCCAATTTACTTACATTCATTTAAAAATGTATTTAACCATAATTACATGCAAGATACCATGTCAGAGATAGAAGTATAAGTAACATATTGGCCTCAAGAAAACTGCCACTTCACAGATTCCTTAATGACAGGTTCAAAAGTATACAGAACATGAAAGGAACAAGTTAGCAAAGCTTTCAGTTTCCTAAGTTAAAGGAGTAATATCAATAGAATACAAACATTATGACTGAAATTATGTTGTTGTTGAACTGACTGAAATACATAGATCTATTAATGACATTTGTTCTTAATCTCAAATAATGTACAATTTTGAAAACTAAGGTTCCAACAGAAAAGGATATGTGGATTACTAGAAACATCATGTTGTGTATCATTTGAGTATTAATCAGTATTCTATTTGAAACAGGTGTGGCAGCTGACAGAATAGCAATTCAGTCTAAGGGTCGATACACAGCCAATCTGTCCCCTCAGAATTTGATCTCGTGCTGTCCTAAGAACCGTCATGGATGCAACAGTGGAAGCATTGACAGGGCCTGGTGGTACCTGAGAAAACGTGGGTAAATAGCTGCCCAACACATGTTTCTAAGATTTTTATGAACGTTGTCTCAAGTGACAATAAGGAAAAATGTTTTGAGATTTTTTTTTTTTACAAAAACAAAAAAAAAGAAAAATCTAAAAGTATATATATATATATATATATATACACACAAATAAATTTTACTTTTAGATATATACTATATGTGGTATCTTCTGAGATAAGAAGCTATTGGAAATAGTTATTAAAGAATGTGTACAGGGGGCTGGGGATGTGGCTCAAGCCGTAGAGTGCTCTCCTGGCACGCGTGCGGCCCGGGTTCAATCCTCAGCACCACATACAAACAAAGATGTTGTGTCCGCCGAGAACTAAAAAATAAATATTTAAAATTCTAAAAAAAAAAAAAAAAGAATGTGTACATTTTTATCTAAATTAACATAAATTTTTCTTTTGACGACTCAAACAAGCTTTTTCTTCTTGCTGCTCTGCACCAAGTGGTTCCAGTGAGTTCCTTCAGAGGGATTGCAGTAATCAATGTTGCTGATTCCTCAATTGTGCCTTTTAGTTAGCTAGGTCGATGAATAGAGATACAATTGGAGGAAACATTAGATTAAAAATCTCAGAAGAATAACACAAAAAAAGTAACTTAGAGTTGCTTCAGCTCATCAGTGCCATTACTGTGTTCATCCTAGTTGGTGAAAATTCTCAGGTTGCAAATCCTTACTCTCACAGCTGACACCAGCACAGCACCATGTGGCTACTGGAGAGCTGATATGCTTCAGAGCTGATTATTTGGCTAAGGACTGCACCTGACAACTAGTAGAATGTGGAGTGACTCCCATTCTTTCACCATCCAGTCAGTGGCCTTAACTTGTCATACAACAGTTAGATGTTATGAAAGAGGGAAAGTGTCAGATATTGATAGGTAGCATTAAATTGTTAACATTTTTTTCATGTATTTTGCCTAATAAAATGGTAATTTGAATGGGCAGCTTGGGCTGAAATTTTCCTGGTGTAGTAGAGTTTGACTGGCTTCTGTTTTATGCTATGATAAAGATAAAAGTTTTTCAGGAGTTTCAAAATATAAATTATTATTGAGATCAAATTAAATCTCATTTTATTAGTCTGCTTGTGCCCTCATAACCACATGTCAGAGTCTGGTGACTTAAACAGGGATTATTTTGTCTCGGAGACTGCAAGGTCCAAGGTCAAAGTGCTGGATTATTCAGTACAAGGCAGAGATTCTCTTCCTGGCTTGCAGTTGTTCACTTTCTTGAAGTGTCTTCACATGGTGGTGAAAGAGCTCTGGTTATTTCCTTTTTCTTATAAGGGCACAGAATCCCATCCATGAGGGTCCCACACTTAGGCTCTCATTTGAATTAATTATGTCTCAAAGGGGCAACACCAAATGCCATCACATGGGCCTTACAACTTCAACATATTAATTTTAGATTCACACAATTCAGTCTATACCACTCAGCATTTAATATAAATGTAAATGTGGCATATTTTATGCTTTGTTTTCATCATGTTTCTTGCTGAGATTTTCATACTCTGTTGGACACTGTCACATTTTTTTGAACCAATTTTAGTGGATTTTTTAACGGTCATTTCAGCATTAAATATATATAAAATCAGTTATGTAATTTCAGTTCCCTTACTATCGACCTTTGTATTCAATAGGATTATATTATATTTCGAATCAAATAATTTGCACTTTGCTAAGTTCACTTTCAAAATCAGAAATCAAAATATTTAAAAAAATTTTTGTGCATCGTGTTTATCTCATAAGTTTCCACTTTAAATGTTATATAATTGTTATACTATTTCCCCAAAGTATCATGAACTACAGACATATAATCATTAAAGTCTTATGAAAGATAGTATCTGTAACTTAAATAAAATATCAACAAACCATAAAAAAACCCTTAATTCTTAAATGTACATAATTTATCTGTAAATAACCAAAGTGATTGTTTTTTCATATCTAATTAGACTCTTCTACATTATTATACATAATTATAATCTATATTTTAATATTACTAGCAGCTTTATTAATGGCTACTTTTCATCCTCAGGTAATCCTATATTGAAGATAGAATTATTAAAAAAGGATTGAAGTAAAATTTCAAAAATAATAATGAACAAATAATACAGGGGTAGAGAGCAATGCAATGTCATTGAGTTGCTTTGTTGGAGTCAGTTGATATTTTTAAAATTATGCATGTAGGTAACCAGCAAAATTTATGAATGTTTAGTTCAGCAAGATTGAACATAGACAGAATATTATGGCATTTCCCTAAATACTACCTTTGTTTTTTGCTTATTTCTCATAGACTGGTATCTCATGCCTGCTATCCACTTTTTAAGGACCAAAATAACACCAATAATATCTGTGCCATGGCTAGTAGGTCTGATGGGCGGGGAAAAAGGCATGCCATCAAGCCATGTCCCAACAGCATAGAGAAGTCTAACAGGATTTACCAATGCTCTCCTGCATACAGAGTGTCTTCCAATGTAAGTCTAAATAGCAAGAACTAATAATGGCCGACATCCTCAAACATATATAGCTCTGTTGTTAATACTATTTAAAAACTTTAAAACTATTAAAAATAAAACATTATATTTTCAGATTTTTTTTCTTACAGTGTCCATTAAAGACTTTGAGTACAGTTTCTATTTTTTCCTAATATTAGTGTCAAAATGGGCTTAATTTACAATATGACCAGGAAAATAAAGTTCTTAAATTATGTTTTATAGTGTGTGTATGTGTGTGTGTGTGTGTGTGTGTGTATACAAACTTGATAAGTAAAGCTAAGTCAAACCTGCTTTCACTGAATTTTTTGTGGTGGTGCTAAATTTATCAATCCTTTACTCCCCAAGATAATGGAAGTGAGCATAGTCACAATAGGAAATAGTCTTAGATTCCAGTTTGTCATGTTAAAATCCTAGGCAAGTTTTATTCCATGATAGCAGTGTCACCTGGTCTTCTTAACTCCAAAATATCTGACTCCTCAGTGACTCACAGTAATCTCCAAAATACAGTCCAGTATTTTTACCATGGTAAACAGGTCTTCTATGAATTGAGTCTATTCTACTATTTTTATAGATTCATGTCCTGCCAGCATTTGCCCTGTGCACCTGCACACAATGCTTCTGATGTGTCTGTCTCTTTTCTCCAGATATATCACACTCATCCATGCATGTGTACTTAGCTAGGTGATAATTTCTCTGATCCAAGGTGTTAACCCACTGTTCCATCTGGTGAAATGTTACACAAATGTCAAAGTCTAGAGCAACATTTCATCATTTTTAAAGTTTTACTGGACTTCTAAGTGGGATTAATTTCCTTTTGTGGTTTGTAGCCATAACAATCTATGCTTCTCTCGATAATATAACTTATTATATAATAATGAAATTAGTTGTATGAATGTCTGTTTACACCACTGAGATATAAATATCTTGAGGATGGGTGCATAGTCAGTGTTTGTTTCTATCATAGTTTCTAGACTGTAATTTGTGCTCAATATATACAGAAGGGAGGGAGGGAGGGAGGGACAGAAACAGGGAGGGAGGAAATTCCCTGCCTCCCTACTGAGGGTACATTGGGTGGCAACACAGAAATATTTGTACTGAAGCTGTAGAGGGACCTCACTAAACATCTGAGATAGCTGTTGTGATCTCCACTGATTAATCATGGCTTTAACTTAGCTTTGATATTTTTTGTTTGTCACAATAAAAAGTTAATACACTTTCTCTCCACTCCAAAATTATCATTTAGTGATAAAACTCAACAAAAAATGAGCACATCTTTAGCAATTTCATCAATGTTATATTTCATGTGTGAGTATTTCAAACTATGATTAAGAGTAAATAAACTGCAAGTGATCAAATCATTTCGGATTATATAACACCTAAATTGTACTACAGCTGTCAAACTGTAGGTGTAGTATTTTTGATAATGATGATGATACTCATTGATATTTCCCATTCCAGGAAACTGAGATAATGATGGAAATCATGCAAAATGGACCAGTTCAAGGTAAACTTGCATGATATTTAATAAAAATTGCTTTAGGAATCTTCATAAGCATTTAATAATTCTAAAATCAGTTCAGTTATGAGATTTGCTTAGCTAATCACTTAATTATCTGCCATTTTACTTTAAGAGATAGACTCACTTCTATATTGAACTCTTAAATATTAGTGATTAATTTCATAAAAGTGCTGAGTATTTTCAAGTGATCATGGACTAACAGACATTCAAACATGAAATGCCAAGTGATTAATTCACAACAAGCTCACTTTCCTCCCTTTAATTATATGTAAGAGTCATACATAATGTTAGATATTTTCACCTTCACCTTAGGTAACAGATTGGAAAAAATGAGGATTAGTAATAGAAACAAAACTAGATACATTTCTTTTGTATTAGTTCAAGGGAAATCAAGTAAGCCAATATGATTTTTGTGTCTTACAAAAGGCGTCAAACTTGACAATTTTGGAAATGTGTTCTTTGAGATAAACTAACAGTTAATAACAAAATTATGTAATGACTCACTGTATATTGACTTTGATTTTCAGAATATCATCTCTGATAATAGTTACTTTTGCTTATTTGTTGAATTTTATTTTGTAACATTGACGTGGAAAAGGAAAAATACACAGAATATATTCCCTCTCTAAACAAACATAGCCTTGAAGTGCATGGAAGAAAAAAATTCAATGAGGCATAAAGTGGAATTCAGGTTGTGAACACCAAAAAGCCCAATTATTTATCAGTGCATTGGAATAAAAAATTTAAAAAAATTAAATTTAAAATATTTGATATATACTTAAGAAACTGTTGGAAAGTTTTTCTTTTTGCCTGAATGCTGATTTGATTAGTTCAGCATACAGAAAAAGATCATGGATGTTTCTAATTGTGCTGAAATTATGTTTTACGGAGAAAACAAAACACACTAAACATGTTGTGAATTTAAGAAATCCTGGAACCTTACACAAAATCTGAAAAAACATGAGAAGCTTCTTTCTCCTTTACAGCTATATAAATCATTGGCTGTTGTAAGAGTGGGAAACTTGAAGGATCCAAGACTTTTGAACACTAGATTAACTTTTAAAGGTCCAACTTTGACATTTGCCACTTAAATTATTTTTGGCCAATTACCTAACCCTTTTAAATATTTATACCATTGTTTTGTTGTTTGAAGAGTTTCTTTCTCTATTTTTAATGACTCAAGAGAAATTTGAATCATAATTATTTAAAGTTGAGAACACCTTAGACTTGCTTTATTACCATATGCATAAATTTCACATAATCAATCAAAAATAAAGATAAAAAAATTCAAACCAATAAAATAAAAATGTGAATTATTGAACACAGAAAATGTTTGTTGAGAACCTGTTTCTTGCCAACTCAAGCCAGGGGCAAGACAGCAATAATCAAGACAGCTCCTTCTTCTCTTCATGCATGAATGTTATAGTTTTGTACAATGAGTTTACTGCAGCTTTCCAAGATTAGAACTGCACTGCTGTAGTTTATATATTTATGTGTTTGTGGATTCATCAACTCTGGTTTGGTGTCAGAAATTGAAGGCAATGTCATCTTTGCATTGATTATGATAGTTTCTCACCTTGTTCTTTAGTTAGCAGTGTTTTTCAGCAATGGAGGATATATTTTATTTATAATGCTTATGGAAGAACTAAATCATAAGAATTAAAGGAATCAATGGTTCTATGGAGAAGAAAAATCACTAGCAATATCTTCACATTTTTATGAATGGATAGAAAGCTGTTTGGCTCTTGCTGTAGATGCAATGTGATTGTATGCTCATTGTTGCCTGGTTTAACATTCAGCATTTCCCCCATCTCAGTACAAAAGATTGTCAAAAGAATAGAATGTTGAATAAATAAAACTGTGCATGCTTCTAAAATTGTACAATTGAAAATAAGTAAAGGTGATGAAAAGAGAACAAAAGTAGAAATCTGCATGGAGTACAGTTATATAAATTCTTTAAATCCTATGGGAATGTGTTTTATAGTAGATAAAAAAGGCCTAACCTCTTTTGAGACTATTTGAACAGCATCAGAAAAAAAAAACATGTAACTTTAAAAAATGAAATAAAAAGTGGAAAACTTAAAAAGTTATAATTTGACTTTGGAATATTAATTTAATTTTAGTATCTACCAAGTGCTAGTGAAATTAGTCCTTTTTTTTATATAATCCATGTCAAACTAAGATAGACTAACACTGTTTATCATTATCAGACTATACACATTTAATCCCAATTAGAAAATCTTCAATTCACATCCTTTGGAAAAGAACTTTAAAGTGTTCACCCTGAACTGTCCAATTCCTTCTACAAAGTGGCATACAATATAGAAAAGAAATAGTGCAGGTGAGGGCGTGAAGGAGAGTTTTAGGAAGCATCAGCTCTACTTTTTAAATAATACAACACTGGCTTAGCTCTGTAGAGCAGGGAGGATGAAATCCTGTCAGAGTATTCTTTTGCCAGGGTTTTGCCTTTTATTCAAACTCTGCAAGGAAAGGTTTGTATTTATTTATAAGGTTAAGGAAAATTGCTTTAAGCCAAATTTGCTATACTCACCTTTCTCTGCTGGCTTGATTGGGATTTTGAGAAAGTTGTGGTGAAACAGGACATTAGAAATAGCAATCATTGATCTACTGCAGTGGCCCGGCTCCATTCCTGGTAATAGTGCCTTTGTTGATTAAGACTTGAGTGGCATTTAAAGGTATAATGTGTAGTCAAGTAATGTTCTAAGTAAGTAAAATTTGTTTTTATAAGAGAAGAGGAAAGTATTATAATCAATCAATTAAGTAGAAAAGAAAATGATGAGGGAATTAAACAATCTCTTCATAGATTTAGCTCCTTGCAATTTATTCATTCATTGTTTTGATAGAATTTCTGGAGACTTTTAAAGATGATTTTTTAAAACTCTGCCATTCTCCTGTTGGGTTTTATTTAGCCATAATGCAAGTCCACGAGGATTTCTTTTACTATAAGACAGGGATATATAGACATGTTACCAGCACAAATGAAGAATCAGAAAAATATCGAAAATTTCGGACACATGCAGTCAAACTTACTGGGTAAGGCAGTTCCTTTTTCTTTTTTTTAATTAATTTTTTAAAATTTATAGATGACAGCATAATGCATTGCAATTCTTATTACATATATACAGCACATTTTTTCATATCTCTGGTTTTATACAAAGTATATTCACACCATTTGTGTCTTCATACATGTACTTTGGATAATAATGTTCATCCCATTCCAGTATCATTTCTAACTCCATACCCCCTCCCTTCGCCTCCAACCCCTCTGCCTTATCTAGAGTTCGTCTATTCCTTCCATGCTCCCCCTTCCTACCCAACTATGAATCAGCCTCCTTATATCAGAGAAAACATTCGTCATTTGTTTTTTTGGGGATTGGCTAAATTCACTTAGCATTATCTTCTCTAACTCCATCCGTTTACCTGCAAATGCCATGATTTTTTCCTCTTTTATTGCTGAGTAATATTCCATTGTGTATATATGCCACATTATTTTTTTATCCATTCATCCTTTGAAGGGCATCTAGGTTGGTTCCACAGTTTAACTATTGTGAATTGTGCTGCTATAAACATTGATGTGGCTGTGTCCCTGTAGTATGTTGTTTCTAATTCCTTTGGGTATAGACAGAGGAGAGGGATAGCTGGGTCAAATGGTGGTTCCATTCCTAATTTTCCAAGAAATCTCCATGTTGCTTTCCATATTGGCTGCACCAATTTGCAGCCCCACCAGCAGTGTATGAATGGATCTTTTCCCCCACATCCTTGCCAGCACTTATTGTTATTTGTATGCATAATAGCTGCCATTCTGACTGGAGTGAGGTGAAATCTTAGAGTAATTTTGATTTGCATTTCTCTAATTACTTAAAGTCTTCTTAAATTCTTAAAAGCTTTGTTATTTGGAAGCTATTGGTTCATTTATGGAAAATGAAACTGAACATAATAATACATAATGTATTTAGATATTGGAATTCCCCTTTGTGAGAGAGATTATTTTACCAATTGAAAAATTATCCAAACTTGGCCATTATTTTGTCATTATTTTAAAAAGAGTGGAATAAATCAGACATAATTTTCCTATGTTCAAATGTGAATACATGACCAGTGAAACTCCACATTATGTACAACCAAAAGAATGGGATCCTAATTAGAATAGGTTATTCTCCCTGTGTATATATTATGTCAAGAAAATATACTCTACTATCATGTATATCTAAGAACAAATTAAAAAAGAAGACCATGGAAGCCAAACTCAATATTCTAGGAAAGATGATCATCTCCTGCTTCCCATTTGTGAATATGTTCTTAAGAATCTGTTCTAAGGACAAGGGAATGTATTTCCCTTTGAAATATATTATTGGAGTAAATTCTTATATCTGACATAATCAAGGAGAAGGTGCAATTCTGAAGTGTATTATGATCAAGGGAGAAAATTTTTAATGGAGTTACAAATGTTAGTTATTAAGTAACAAGAGAGGGTAAGATCATCTTTAGCTTGATATAAGGTTTTTAAAAATATTTATATGAGAATTGAGGAAATTGCACTGATCAAATTTGAAAGTAAAATATATTCACCTATGCAAGGGCAAGAAACAAAGTTTATAATTTTGTTTGGTGGTTGGGTCTCAGGGATAAATAATTTCACAAATAGGGCCTGAAAGACAGACCATTATAAAACCAATTCACCCCACCCCCCCCCAAAAAAAAAACACTTCCCCACTGAACCTTCTCAGTCTCATTCTGATTGTGTCTCAGTTTGCAAATTTGTTCTCAAAATATCTCACTCTAATTCGAAGAAAATGTTACAGAAAAGTTTTGTTTTTGTTTCCATCCAAAACTCTCTCTCTTCATCTTTCCTTTTTTTGTAAATAACTTCATTCTTAGTTGAGCTTGTCATTCCCAACAAATTTACTAAGCCTGCAGAAAACAACCTCACCTACAACAAAATTGTTATCTTCTACTGATTTTGGAAACCTGAGTATAATTCTAAGGTATGTAGACAATCTATCCTTCAGGTGTCTCGTTAACCCTCAGTTCTCACTTATTTAAAATACTCCAGTCTTTCAATTACAGAATTATCACATGTCTTTAATCAAGGATCCAAAGATCTATGACTTGTCTTGATTCAGGAATGTGAAAATATATGTCTTAGAATTGAAAAATTCAGTACTTCATGTTAATGTAGGATATTGATTTAAAAAACAACAGCTAGGAGAAAAGATATGTGATATATGATTTTGCCATCTAGAGATAACCTCTATTAAAATTTGGAATACTTTTATCTATATCCTAGATAAATAACAATAAGGAAAATAAAGACAATAGAAAGAAAGAAAGGAAAAGAGAAAAAGAAAGAAAAAGAAAAAATTTTCATGTGAAAATCGGGTACTAAAGTTTTAAAAATTTATAAGAAGGAAATTTTTGCTAATGTTTTCATTATAAGTATATAAAAATCGTAGCTTCTCAACATTCTTTCAAGTGATGGGTGTTTCCCTTTTTCATTTTATTAGGTCTATTCTGCATAGTCACACCATTTTAGAGTCTTATGGCAGTTCCTGGTGCCTAGCTTTCTTAAGTCCAATGGAACAAGTGCATTTAACTAAAAAAATATATATATATATATATAAGTTGCATATGTTTACCACTAAAATGAATGAGCTTAAAAAGAAATGATCCCAAACAAAACCTTAAAAATAAATAATTATTAGCATAACAATTGTTGGAAAAAATCAGAAAATTTCTCTCACTTTCTGTTGATGAAAAGTTAGGGAGACAAACTAAAATAGGAAAAAAATAGGATATGGCATATTAAAATATTCTTACTTAGATTAATTTTACTTGAATATAATAATGTTTAATATAATATTATGGAAATTAAGATGTATATTAAAAGAATTAGTGATTGATATAGTAGCTCACTTTAGCTACATATATATATTTTTAACATTTTCTTAGTTGTTTATGGACCTTTATTTTATTCATTTATTTATATGTGGTGCTGAGAATTGAACCCAATGCCTCACACAGGTGAGGCAAGCACTCCACCACTGAGCCACAACCCCAGCCCTAGCTGCATATTTTAATATTTATCAATTTGTTGTCAACAGATAAAATGAGTAAATTTGTCACTCTTATACTTCTTCCCACATCTCCTTCTATCATACTTCTGATATTGGTTAGTTATGCTACTATTTATGCACATCAAATGATTAAAAGATATCTGCATTCTATTGTGAAACTTTAAAGTACACAGCGTTTACACATTATTCTATACAATGCATTGTGGAGTCAATAAGTGAGTACTTTTTGACAGTGGTTCTTCTATCCTTTAGTTTAACTTTTACTAATTATTTTGTTACTGAATTTTATTTCCTAGTAATTTTTTTATTAAGAAGAGCTCATAAGGCTTGATTACCTAATTTCTTGTATGTTCAAAAAAGTAATTATATTGATGAATAACATAACTGGAATAAAATCCTGGACTATAAACCATCAGAATTTTGCAGATGTTGCTCTAGGGTCTGCAACATTCAGTTTTCCTGAAGAAAGTCTGAGGATACCAGATGGTTTTTTTTTTTTTTTTCCCTTTTCATAAAAAAATGACCTGACTCTTTCTATTTGAACACTCATTAATTTTTTTTTTTTTTTGTACCTGAGATAGAACTTAGGGGCACTCGACACTGAACTACATCACCATCCTATTTTGTATTTTATTTAGAGACAGGGTCTCATTAAGTTGCTTAGCACCTTTGTTGAGGCTGGCTTTGAACTCGTGATCCTCCTGTCTCAGCCTCCTTAGCTTCTGGGATTGCAGGTGTGCCCCTCTGCACCCAGTTCACTCATTAATTTTTGTAATCCTTGAATTTAACACATTTTTATTTATGCCGGATTTTCTACATCTCCTATTATTTTTCTTATAATGATATTTATCTTATAGTTCTTTAGCATTTTATTGTATATGATTTCTCTACTGCGATTTGCCTATTCCCAAAGTTTATTGTATTTGCTAATCATTCTCCAAATGGCTCTTGCTTTTGAAATCTTCTTATTTTTTTTCCTTTCCTCTCATCTCGTTGTCATTTAAGGTCTTATTTGAGTTGTATTTAGAGAAATCATGTTTGTAGTTTGTCTTTATCTGACTTCTCCAGTTTCCTTGAATAATTCATGTTGAGCTTTAGATTCTTCACCTGTTTCTTCCTGCATTTTTTGGAGGGAGAATTCTCTTTAGTTATAAATGATGGTAGAATATATTTTGGTATATTTATACAAGCATGGAATATATCTTCTTCCTGCATTCTTTATAGAAATTTAATCACAAATCTGTGCATTTCATTCTCTAGAACTTCCTATTTTTCTACACATAACACTATTCTCCTGTGACCCCAACATTTCTTCATATGCTTGCAATGTGTTATTATTCCATTTACCTTCAGCGTTATTTGTTTCTCTTCTCCTTCATGCCCACATAGTCTTCCTTACTTGGTTAAAATCCCACAGTGAATATTCTCTCCCCTTCCACACATGCCCTGGACTCTTGCCCCTTGTTTGACTTAAATTAGCTTGCAGACTTCAATTGTGGATTCAATTTGAATCAATCTGTTTTGTACCTGCATCTGATCATAGTTGATAAAATCTTGCAACTATGTTGATTCACTTTAATTTATAATGACACATTTCAAATAGATGTCTAATACTATCGGTTAATCATGTTCTGAATGACTATTTTGTTTATTCTCCCACTCTTTAGGTGATTATCTCACAACTTGTTCTTTTTCCTTGAATCTCCAACACCTTCCCACCTCTTGTTCTTCATGATAACCTCGTGTTCTATTTCCCTGAAAAGACTGAAGCAATCAGAAAACACTTCCTGGAAACATAAGTGTCACTACCAGCACATACATACTGGCTCATAATCATTCGTCTACCTTTTACATAATTGAGCCATCCACACTCCAGTCTGAATTTTTGCTTGCATATTGTACCCTAGTCCCTTTCAGCTATGCAGAGACAATTTCTCCTTTTTCTTCTCTGTATTCAGT